AGAAATGTCGCGAGGAGCCGGACCTTGGGGCGGGGGACACATGGGGGTTTCCGAAAATAGGGGACCCTAATATAGTACCCTAAATAGTAGGATCCTTATTATAAGGACCCCAAAATAAGGTACCCTAGTTTTTGGAAACTCCCATATTCCTTAGGGTTCCTGACCATAAGATAGTGTAAGTATAGACTAAGATTCCGAAGGACCCTATTCTACTGAATAAGGCCCCTCTACTACGGACTTTCCCTTCGAAGACCGAAGCTTGTAGACGAATTCGTCCTCCTCAAGCCGAACTGTTTGAAGTTGCCTGGCACATGAGGGCAGAACTCTGCTGCACTTCAGCTGGTACGCTCGCGGGCACTGCGGAGGTTGAACATTTGCATTAGCAATGACAGAGGCTTCTGGTCCCTGTTTAAGTATTCCGGTTCCTATGTCATAAGAGGCTTCTTGAGAGTTCAAAGTCCTCTGTTATGCTAGGCTTTCGTTTTCTAGTGTGACAGGCTTGTTAGAGGATAAAGCTTTGCGCGTTCGGCCGAACAGTTTTTTTCTAGGGGTGTCGCCATCTCACCACAAACCCGACATACAAAGTCACAAAGTCCTAGCCCCAACCCCTAAACCGCAATCCCTGAACCCTAAGCTCCGGCTGAGCTCTTAACCCAAGCCCTAAACCATAAAGCCCAGAATGCAGGAATCCCAAGAGCCTCACGACTGAAGTCAGAGAGCTGCGCCCCACTCCGGGCATTAACCAAAGTGTTCCCTGGCCGAGAAAGTCTTCGGCTGGCTCAAAAGATAGGAGTTCGGGTAGCCCTGGGCCAGCGACTGCGACTAGCCTCAAGGATGCCTACTTGGAGGTTCATGGGTAGTTATAAGTGGGGTTATAAGTCCCCTAATATGGTTTATAATTTAATTATAGTTACCCTACTTAGAACCCTACTTATAACTACCCATGAACCTCCAAGTAATGGAGATAGTCTTGAATGTCTGTGGACATCGCAACAGAATAACTGTGGGTGCTCTGTTCCAGGTGTTTCTCATTTCCTCATGTGCGCATCTGTTCACCCTGCGCCCGTCTCTGAACTCGAAAAGCCAGGCTAATACAATCCGAAACCACACTTGCCAACCCACTTAAACTGAACCCCCGCCTAATTAGCCCGACCTCTGCCTTTTGAGCTTCACCATGAGTCAAGGTACCACCTCAGCGTTTCGCAGAATCCGCAGAGTCACAAGACACTCACGCGGAGGCTTCAGGAGAATCGTGTCCTTCAGATTGATGATCTAGGGCCTGTAACAGGGTTTTCTGGGTGTGCAGGGCCTGGCATTGGCATGGGAGGCCGTCGGAAAGATCTATGGTAAAACACTGGCAAAATGCCTGTATTCCGCACGATTCTCTTGACGGTGGATCTCAAACCCTCGTGTCGATTGGACGCTCCCACGGCGCTCATGAAAAAGACTGCGAAACTTGGGGCAGTGTTCGGACTTCCTCTCAGTATGTGTGGGTTGTTCTATAGTCTGAGGGTGCTTCTCGGAGAAATTCGAAGGCACTTCCATGTGAGAGACATCCTACCCTAGACCTGAACCAATGACATGGCTTTAAAGGGAAATGTATTTCGAAGTACTGCCAGGTGCCTCTGTCGTACCGGGCCTTCCGGAAGTTTTTCTTCGTGCTTCAGCATGCGGGTAGTTGTCAAAATTATGGCCCCTTTTGGGGTACCCTAAATAGTAGATGCCATATTATAATAAGGACCCAAAAAGGGACCATAATTTTGATAACCACCCATGTGATTGTAGATGCACGGGTGCTTCCTCTGCAGGATGTGAGCACATCCACATGTCCAGCTGGGGTCTGTCGGATCAAAACTGTGGCCCTGCTTGTATTAGTACCCCGAAGTTTGCTCTCATGCAGACTGCACACTCGTCATGCTGTGTTCGCTAGGCCCGAAACCAAACCACAGAACAATCCGCTTGCCATCTCCGCTCGCCCTTCTGAGATGGAACAGCATGTTGGGTATGAGATCTTGTCGCGGCAGAACTGGGTGCTTCGGAACCTACATGATAGCTGCTTGGGCTCATGATTGCAATTGCTAGCCATTTGTCTTCATGCATACGTCGAGACCCGACATAGAGCAAGAGTGTGTGAGAGCAGGGGCTGGATTCCAAACATCTGCCAATCCGCTGCAGCCATGGACGACCTCGGCTTTTTCGACTCCGCACTCTCGGACACGGAAATGGACGAGTTGTTGAAGTCCTGCAAGGAGGAGGCGGAGCAGAAGAAAAGGAAAGAAGCAAGTGCGACGGAGCACCAGAAGAAAAAAAAGCAGAAGAAGCAGAAGAAAGTCAAGGACCTCTTTTGGGCCTCTCGGTGTTGAAAAATAGCTTTCTTGTTCCTACGACTCCGTGGCCTCCCGAGGACACTGAGGAGACGGATGCGATTCCAGAGCAGGCAGTGCCGAGCACACCACCAACGTCCCCCGCGAAGGTCGGCCTCTCTTCTTGGAGGTTCATGCGTAGTTATAAGTGGGGTAAAAAGTCCCCTAATATGGTTTACAACTACAGTTACCCTACTTATAACCTTACTTATAACTACCCATGAACCTCCAAGTTCTGTTCTGCGATGAGTTAAATCCGGATGAAGGACTAGTGGTAACATCCCTCTTAATCCCTAGATGGACATACTATAGTTAAACTTCTTGTTATCGAAAAGTGAAAGAGACATATATATATATATATACACATACACATATATCGCTTTGTGTATCTGTATATATATATATATATTGTTTAATCAACTATGTATGTATCTTAGTATACATACGTACATACATATATACATTTCTACAGAGAGAGACAGAGAGTGAGGGCGTCAGCATCTTTGCTTGTTGCTCGAAGTTTTGGAGTCTAGGCTTTACGCACGAGGCTGATACGATAGATCCTGCTTCAAGGCCCCTGGTCTGGATAGGCAGATATGGGAGTTTCAGAAAATTAGGGGTACCTTATTTTGGGGTCCTTATAATAAGGATCCTACTATTTGGGTACTATATTAGGGTCCCCTATTTTCGGAAACCCCCATATTCATAAAGTGATTGCAGTAGTGCGACACAACTTCGAAAAACCAGCCCGGTGACATGCCTGTGACATAGCGTGGGCAGGTTGTCGTGTCAGATACTGTTCTGGCCACCAGTGTCACCACGGCAACATGTACTCCATCGATGGCTCTCTTAAGACATGAGGTGTGTCATTCATCACGAAAGGCTGGTTGCCTGCGCGTCAGGAGTCCAAAACCCCCACCTCGGAGGAGAAGAAGGAGGTGACACCCAGCAGCTTCACACCCAAATGTCGCTTGGCTGCTCTTCGTGATACATGTATATTTTCGATGCTTCTGAAATCTGCAGCTTAAGTGGCCGGCAGCGTGAGCAGTTGCATTGTCGTCGAGATGTGATGCCCGATACCACTCGTAGCAATGTCCTTGTCCACGTGCCAAATTGCCGATGAAGGTGGATCAAAGCCCGAGGCTTTTGAGATCCTTTTTGGGATCTTCCGTCTTGTAGTCCTGGTCGTTGGTTCTTGTCAAGGAAACCGTCGTCTACATCTGTATCTATATCTGTCTCTATAGTCCAGATCCAGATCCACATCCATGGCTGGGTCCATGTCTGATTCTGTATTTATGCCTTTAACTAGTCTAACAGACAGAAATACAAGTTGATATATATACATATACATATACATATACATATATATATATATATATATATATATATATTTCTTTATTTGTATTTATAGTTATATTTATATTTCTATTTCTGTTTATTTATTTTTTCTTTATATTATATGCGTACATATATCCAATAGGCTTTGGTTGCCGATATGCTAGTAATCAACAAGTGGCTAGGCGCGACCGATAGAACGATAGATGCATAGGCTAAGCTAGGATAGGATTGAAGAGGATAGGATAGGACAGATTGTTAGGTTGATACGTAATGGGTAGAAATCAGAAGTCATCCAAATCCACTAAGAGATTTGTAGATTGTTAACTCTTCTAATTCAGGCTCCCATATGAATACCTCAGAAAACCCTACAGTTAAGAGAACGCATCATGGAGTTACTGGGATGCATGAAAAAGATGAAAAACAGAAACCAGGTGAAACATAACTGATAAATCAATATGAACGCGCAAAACAAGCCAGGAGTGAAGAAGCAACTGAAAGGAAAGAAAGGGAACACAACAAAAACACAAACACACATTAAGCGCCGGCTCTGAGACTCGTGTTGGTGTTTTTTTGCGTTTGACTGTGGTTTATGTAGTTTTGCAGTTGCTTTCCGACGGAAAGTTGAACAACATGAAGCAGAAAGACGAAAACCTACAAAGCAACAATATATCTGAAAACCAATACTAACGAAACACAAAAAAAAAAGCAACACATACAAGCACGCTACCTCCCACGCCCATTGTGTTTTATGTGTCTGCTGTTCTTGTTTTGGTTATGTATCTTTTCTAGGAGTTCCAGAATCTGCAGTATTTGGGGGAGCCGCGTAAATTAAGTTGGTTTGATGGCATCCCATATAGTAGTTTCCGAAAATAGGGGTACCTTATTTTGGGGGTCCTTATAATAAGGGACCTACTATTTAGGGTACTATATTAGGGTCCCCTATTTTCGGAAACCCCCATATAGTACTGAATGAGGCCCCTATATCATCTGCACCGAAGGCCCGGCGAATGGCCTTCCTCTGCACGCGGTGAGGAGACAAGCCGTGCAGACGAAGCTACAGCCGAAAGGACAGGGCTTCGCAGAGTGGTTTTGGAGGTATTGTGGATTTGTGGATATTTTCGACTTTAGGGTTCAGGGCTTTAGGGCTTTGCATTGTTGCCAGGAGAGGGCAGTCTCGTAGGGAGATCTGGTCTTCAAGGCTTTGGCCTTCAGTCTTCGGGTGTAGGCTTTTGTGGCCGGGAAGAGTTCAGCCACGGCTTTGGGGTGTGGGGTCTCAGCAAAAGGGCTTTAGAGAGCCGTAGGCTTCGATGCAAGTGTCAGTGTCCTCGAGTTTCGCAGCAGAGAGGGTGAGATGGCCGTGCTTCGTTCGAGAGAGGATCCGGCGTTCGTCGAAGGGGCGTAGCTTTTTTTGGAGACAGGGTGCCCAAAGTCATAGACTTACATCACCGATTCATGCAGAGCGCATGTTTCTTCGAGTTGGCTCCAGCAGCCAGGCTTGAAAGCCAAGTATCCCAGCCAATGTGGGGTTGGAGCTTGCATCTCAGCTTGGAGCTAGAGGAAGGCAAGCCACCAGACGACAGTCAAGTTTGGCAAATGCATCATGTATGACGGTTTTGGTTTGTGCGGCGCTTGTTTGTACTTTGGATGGGTCCTGCATGCGTTGCATGTAGCCAAAAACGATGTCTTTCGGGTTTAGGGCGTGACCGAAGTGAGACCAGCGCAACCATCAAAATAGATACCTTGTAGACGCGAAGTAGCTAATGAGTCACGAGGGGCTAGTGAGGTTTGTTGCATTTTATAAGCTTGGGGTGTATAGGAGCTGGAGTTTGGGAGTCGTCGTAGGTGTTGGTACGCAGACTTGCTTTCTTGCACAAAGCTTGTCTAAGGCAGGCATCGAATTATGAAAGAGCCGGAGTGGAACAAGAAGAAAGGCGTTTGGGTCGCGCGCTGTGAGCCTCGGTAGCACGAGGCCCTTGCTTCTGCCCACCGATTTGCTCCCGACTTCCGGCTCATTTGCAAACGAGCCTTAAGTTCTGCAGCTTGTCGTACCTGGAAAAACGAAAACTGAGCAGCCGCAAACTGAGAGTGCGGGTGTGCTGGTCTTCAATGTGTTAGCCTCTTACCCATGGCCATAGCAGGAAGTCGAGCCTTTCAGGTTTTGCGGTTGCTGCAAGCGTGATGCGGCCTAGCTTGTCGAAGCCCAAGTGGTCGCAGACGGGCTGCTTACGTTCTTATGGGTCTCGGTCAACCCCTAAACCCTAAACCCTAAACCCTTGCATGCTAAGGCGATGACATGGGGAGCTTCGGGCAATCGAAGCAGCTACCATACATGGTACTCGGAGTCGCTTGCCTATACCGTGGAAGGATGCGCCCGAAGTCCTCTGCTCATGGCTGTAGTATGCTTAAACCGTTGAAGAGCTTCGTCAGCACGCAAAGCTTATGTCCTTTGATGTCCCTGGCAAGTTACGGCAGCATGCAGGCTTAGAGCCGATTCGGAACTCCCACCGACTTAGATAGCCAATGGGAGGACTTTAAACTTTTTGTCCCTATATATTAGATCTATCTTAAAAAGTTTGAACCTTTTTTTGGCCTGGTTCTTGAAGAAGAGAGCCGAGCATGAGACCTTTCGGTGCAACAGTTTCGACGTTCGAGGAATGAAGGAAAGTCCTGGGAGTTCACCACAACTCTTTACAATTTGTTCAAGACGCCTCCCAAGGAGACTCTTTTTGAGACGGGAATGACAGTTCAGTTTGGGTGCCGAATCGCGGGTCATTCTGTATCCGATGCTGCAGGCTGTTCAAAGATTCCGTCTGGTGCGCATACTGCTCTCATTATCAGACAGTATGAATATACATTGTAAGTGCTACGTACAAGCGTACGTCCGTGCATACCAAAGGGAAGCATACGTGCATACATACATAATTGGTTGCATGCGCACATAGGCAGACAGACAGACTGACTGACAAGCGGACATCCGTGCATAAAAGTCTACATGCATCCAAACATGCGTAAATACACACATGGATGTATACAGCTACATCTGGATATGCATCTGATTTTCTTTTTCAAAGCCAAATTGGCTAAAGGGCGTATCTGGTTTGTCTATTAACGCATGTTCTCCCACAGGTCAGGGTTGATGTGTGCGCGTCGAGATGCTTTCTCTTGGACAGCTGCCACCTGCGATCTGACATGAGGTTAAAGTCTCCGATTGTTTCAACTGTTGCAAGCCAAGCTCGGCAGAAACTTCAGGCCCTTTGACCCTTGCCTAGAGCTTTGTATGTTGTTACGCCTTGCTTTACGACGGCTTTCCCACTGCATATAGATTATGTATACAATAAAGATATAGATGATACACACATGTATATCTTTTCACACATTCCTACATACATACTTACTTACATACATACATCTAGGTTAGCCCAGGACCCGTGTGTCGGCTGCTCTGCAGGAGCAGAAGAAGGATAGCCAGCCTAAGATCCCAAAAGAGCGTGCGACGGCGGACCACTTGGCAGGCCCACAAGATTTCAAGCAGCTTCCTTGATTGAAGGAGTGTCGGTTTGAGGTTTAGGCATCCCTAAATCCTGAAAATGCTAGGGTGCAATATCGTTCCTTTCCTCTTCGGAACAACTCGTCAAAAGCAAAAGTGCCGATGGTGATGGTGGTGATTACGACGCTCAGACGATGTCGATGATGATATGTGCATGATGGGACTGCTTGTGGTGTTGCTTTCGTGCAGAGCATCCATATGAATGCAAGTGCAAGGGTCAGTTATAGGTGGTGTGTGTTTCATATTGGAGCCAGCGAAGAAGATCCAGTCAGGTTGTAGATGTATAGCACAGCTGCGCAATGATAACATACTGTGATTACGGACTGTAGCGGCCTCTATATCATGGAGCTTCTCACGCGTTGTCCGACCTGACTTGATTTGGCGGAAAAGGATTGCTTGGTAGACTTATTTGTAGGGCATTCTATTTGCCACGAGGCATTCCTGCGAGCTTCTTCCGACTAGGCTCAAACTAACAACAACCGACAGTGACCGACACCCCATTTAAACGTTACGGTTGTCCCACTTTAGCTGGCTATCTGGGGCTTGGGAGTCAGGCAGTCCAGAGCCATCCACACCGTCTTGCATCGCAGGAGGCCAAGAGAACCAGGGCGAGTTGGGACGCACAAATTCCTTCCTCCACTTGGGTGCCTCTCTAGATTTGGGTCCCTTGGAGGTCCTCTTTATAAGGGTGCCGTACTATATTGGGGACTTAAAAAGGGACACTACTTTACAGAACTACTCACTTGTTGGACTTCTTCGTTGCCGTAGCCAAACTTTGCTGTTGCTGTCGTCAAACCATCGAAAGAAGTGCTGCATCCGTTTCGCACATAGCCGGTTGTCGGTGCCAGCCTTGCTCTTCTCCGAGCTCAGGGAAGCATCTTGTGCGCTGCACCCTTGGAGTCAAGTTGCAGGTGACTCTGCCGAAAGCCTGAAGGCCGATCTGCCCAACTCCAACTTCAGAGCTTAAGGCGTCAAGGACGTAGATTCCTGGACTCAGGACCCCGAACCCTAGTTAATGACTCTTGTAGACACGCTGCTTCCAAGGTCGACACCTCGCACAACAAGCAGCCTGCCGCAGACCAGAAACTGGCATCCCAGGCCCTAAACCCTAAACCCTAATATTTAAAGGTATTGGGCCTATGACCCCAGGATCATAAAACCCTATGGTGTAGGGAGACATGTGCAACTTCCGGCTTGATCAGCAGTCAGCATTTCAATTTCATGGCTTCGCAAACCCATGCCGACACCTCCTGTCCTGAATGCAACTCTACGCCGCGAAGCCAAAGCAAGCATGTTAGCATTCCTTGCCCTCAGCAGGCGAAACCAACTGGACTGACACCAGAAAAATTTATGCAGCCCCGTGTCTGCAAAGTCGATCGGCTTGGATGTGACTTCTTTTGTCGGGTGGCCGCCTTGTCGGCAGGACATGCACATGAATGTGGGACTCACATGCAGCCAAATAGAGACGACGATAGCAGCTGGCAGCCAGCCTCTTCGCATGTAGCACTGTCCTGTACTTGAAGATCTAGCCTTTCCAACTGCTGCCTTTTGTCTCGGGAGAAAACCGCGCAGTGTCCGTACTGTAGTACATCGAATGCTGCAGCTGAGTGGGTCGCTTCTACCATAGAAGCTTGAATACTTGCGTTGTTATTCGGCTTGGTTTTGCCCTCTCTCGGACAGGGCTGCCTGCTCTAGCTTCTCTCTGTTGGATTGGAGTTTTCTGTTTCCGTCTCGATCTGTTGCGTGAGGATTCCGCGGTCTTGCCGCTGTGAATGGCTGGGTTTGGCCTTCTTCTACCCTGGCTCCAATGTTGTTTTGTGGGATCCTCTGCTTGGCTGAGGTTTCCAGTAAGAGAAGTTGCTTGTAAGACAGGGTCTTGCGTTAAACAGGCCACTCAACCGGACAGCCCTAGGAGGAGATCTGCTCCTGCACCGGGATTGCATGTGCATTCAACCTCGGCTTTGAGCTATGGGATCTACTACTCTTGCTTTCTACTCTTGCGATGCTCACCCATTAGCAATGTACTTCATTAAGGCATTCACCTCTTGTCTACAGAAATCCCGGACACCTGTGCCCCCTGTGCCCAAACATCCACAATCCTGCGCGCTAACTGGCTCAGATCACGCACCCCTGAACCCGAAGCCCGTAACCTTGGTTCCATTTGACTTTGTTTCCCAGGTACCTCATGAAAGAGCTGGCCGGCTCACAGGCAAGAAAGATTCTCGGAAAGGGAACCATAGTACGGCGGGGAAGGTCGTGCTTGGGAGTGACTTCAGATTTTGGACGGGCTAGCCCCTCTGCAAACGGAGAAGTTGAGGTTCTGGGGGATGCTTCGACGTTCCTGTCCATTCTATGGTTCCTTATATTATGCGGAAACCAGCTGTGCAAGTGCTGACCGACAAGACAGGCCATGCACTCACAAGCTGCATCTTCGTGTGGATCGAAAGCTATGCCCATATGCTCAGGCAGCCGAGGTCTTAGCCCCGCAACACCTTGATCAACGACACCGCTGCAAAACCCGCAAGCATGGATTTCGAGTGTACCTCGCATCGAAGGATTGCCCAGTTCTGCTGGGAAAGAAGCAATCACGATGGCGTGATCTTTCGTCAAAGAGCTCGCCGTGCCTCTGCGCTTTTCAGGGGTCTGAGTTTAGGCGGAGGGGGGGAAACAATTTAACCAGGAGCTGTGACTGAATGTTTCGAGGGACAGTGCTTTCTGACTTGTGGTCCCTTTGCTTTGCTTCGGGCCTGTTTTTCAGAGTTAGGGTTGGCAGTCTGGGTTCGGGATTCGGGCAACTTTTTACAGGCAAAGTTAATGCGATGATTGTATATACTTAATGAAGGGACGTGGCAGCGCGGCTGGGGCCACGAGGGCGAGAAGAACAGCAACCTCCCTGAAAATTGGGAAAGCTTCAGCTGCAAGAAACCATCCGAGCCTCATGCGCAAGAAGATGTGGGAAGTATGAAGCGGTTCAACCATGGCAAAGGATTACAGGATGACCTCGAGACCTCAGCACAATAGCAAGGACGCATGGGACACGAGGGACCTGGTTCCTCCCAGCTTTGCTTGCTACACTGTGGCTTCTTGAATGACCTATATTCGGCCCGTTTACTGCTCAGCAGCTTCGACAATCCCGGGCCGGCAACTCCATCGGTGCGTCATTCCTGTTGCTTTCCTCAACTTTCCGAAAGCCGAACCTTAAAGCCCAAATCCAAGCCCGAGCCATACCTTCCAGAAAAAGTTGATTCCGGAAACCCTGCCTTGCCAGTCATCGCGCAGACAGTCAGGGAGAACCTGGACAGGAAGCATGAGGCGCGAAAGCTGCTGGCTGTAGGTGACCAGGTTAAGAGCGGTACAAGATTCCTTTATGGCTGTTTTACCAGCAGCTGCATCTTCCGTTTGAAAGACGAGGCTTGAGAGCCACTCTTGGCTTAAGCTGCGGCAGAATCCTAAACGCACGCCCGCGCCCTTCAGCTGCAGTCTGCAGCTCAATCATAACACCGATACTGAGACGGCAGTCGTGAGAACAATCACAGATGCCAAAACCTAGTAGCAGCTGATGACTCAATGAAGCTGATTTTGAAATCTAGTGGCAAGTAACCGCATGTTCAACCAAGATCGAACCAAGCTAAAGCTCAAACGCGGCGAGCCTCAGGCGCTAGGAGTGCGCGACCTCGACGGCGCCATGAAGTTTGTGAAGAAGGCTATACTGCTCCTTGGGGTTCCTTCATATAATCAGTATAATATCAATAAATAGCGTGTACTACAGCTTTACCCGAGGTTCAAGGGTCGGGGCCGACACGTCTCACGGGAAAGATGGGGTGGCTGAGAGTGTTTTCAAACTTCTCCATACGGCTTTCAAGCTTCAGGCTATGCCTTGGGCTGAGTATCTACACAACTTGCGCCAAAAAGCCGGAGCGTTCAGGCACAAGATCAAAAGAAGAGAGTGAAATCACTTGATGAAGGCATCCCGCCCTGCCCTGACGTCGCAAAACGCAGGCCGGAAAGGCCAGGGAGAAGGTCTCGACTTAACATGAAAAGCCTGCACTCCCCGAGCTTGACGCAAAGAAGCCCGATGCCCCACAGTACAGTGTTATGACAACCCGGCAAAACTCCATCCGCCCTACAAAGCAGTGCACGATAAAACACATACTGCCGCATACTTCATGAAAGGTCGTCGGCTGAGAGCGTTGTTGCGGCCCGAAAGCGGCTACGACCTGGTTGCGTTTTGGGTTCAGAGAGGGAGCTGAGGAAGAACCTTGGGCTCAGGGCGTTAAGGGTGTAGGTTTGGGCAATAAGGGTTTAGGGTTTAGGGTTTAGGGAATAGGGCATCCTCTTGGATAAGCTGGGCAACTTTCAATCTGGATTCGGTGGGGTTCTTGATGCTGGGTGCAAGCAGCTCCCTGAACCTGAATGCTTGCAGGCCAGATCCAAAGCTTGCCTCCCAGGTCCAGATGAAATACCCCAAAACGCGACGCCCCAGCATTCCATCTGAATAGAGCCCAACCGTCCTTGAAGAGTCTTTCTCGTCTCTCTTGGGATCCTCCCTTTTAAGGTCGTCCGACCAGTCTTCATGATTTCAGTTCTCCGAGCTTGGTGGAATTGCCCTGGCAAACCTCCCCGGGGAGGTTCCGGCCAAGAAAAAACTGTTTACATAGACCTGGTACCTGCTGGACCTGCTCCAGTCGTGAAGCGACGCCTGCTACATTTGGGAGTTTCCGACCATTAGGGTACCTTATTTTGGGGTCCTTAGAACAAGGATCCTACTATTTAGGGTACTATATTAGGGTCCCCTATTCTCGGAAACCCCCATTTGTACATGGCAGACTGCTTGGAATCAATAGCTAGAACTCATACTTCAAGAACGTAGACGATTGTCTCGCAGACCTCAAGCTTCGGCGCAGGACAGCAATTCTGCTTGGAGTAGGGTGACTATAATTATAAACCACATTAGGGGACTTGTAACCCCACTTATAACTACCCATGAACCTCCAAGTGGTAGGTCCTGCAGGTACTAGGGGGGCGCTTTAGACCTTAGCTGCCACTGGGCCCAGCAGCCGATGGAAGGGATCCCCCAGCCTCTTGCGAGGTTCAGGGCTTACTTGGAGGATCATGGGACTTAGTAAGTAGGGTTATAATTGGGTAAGTATACTTATAACCCCAACTAAGGGACTTATAACCTTACTTACTAAGTCCCATGATCCTCGAAGTAGGATATACATGTACACGAGTTTGAGTCTATGGATTCGTTCAGAGCATCAGGTATGCTTCGGTTACCCGCTTTGACCTCGATGTGTCAGGGAATGAGGGCTCCCTCGTCTTGTCGCCTGCGGCCCTGCGCGGTGGAGCAGCGAAGTGCTACCGGGCTGAGGGCCCAGAGCACTTTGCGCACCCATTCGAGCCAGCCCGTCCTAAGATTACTACAAGTATCTCCATTCCAGACACATCTAGCTCAGCCCCCGAACCCTAAATTCTAAAGCCCTAAAACCCTGCATTCCTGAATCTTTTCCCCCCCCTTCAACCCAGGAGGTCTAACCAGACCCCGGGCGTTCAGATCTTCCATGACGTGGGCACAGATGTGTACAGTGTACACATTTACACATACATATGCCAGCATTTCGACTTTGGTGCCAGTGGTTGAGCGCACATAATTTGCTGCCCCGTCAACCCTTAGCTAGGCCTGCGCGGCCCAAGAATCGAATCTGAGATTCGTTGTAATCTCTTTCTGCTTGATTGCAGACCCTTAATGTGCCTGGAGGGTAGTACAAGTTCATTCCAAATCCTGACGGAAGGTCTGCATTATTGCAGAAAAAGGCGCGACCGCCTCCTTCAAGACCTTAGTGGAGACGGAAACCGTCCTGCCCCTGCCGCAAAATCAACTCTCCGCGGCTTGGGTTCCTAGCAAGGCTGTTCTTGAGCTCTTGTCTGCTCGCACGAACTTTGACTGTTAAGTACCGAGAGCTTCTGCAGGGACGGCATATTTCGACACAAATCGACTAACCACTCTGGCTCCAGTCGGCAAGTGCTTGTGCCTTTTCGGGTTCATTGTTTGCTGCCTCCTCGTTTGAGTGACAGAAGCAGCCTTCATGCCAGCACTGCGCATTCACTGGTGGGATGCGCCGGGGCGTGCCGGCGAGCCTACAAGGCTCGCACTCACCCTGAAGAGCGTACCTTTCGAAGATGTGCGGTACAGCTTCGGCGACAAGGAGAGCACCTTGACAGTATAGTCTACTCAAGGACTTCAACTTGGTTCTTGATTGAAAAACAAACTCTTTAGTTCGAGCTGTATTATGGGCATGGGCCCAGCTTATGAATGTCTCCCTCATGGCCATGGCTCTTGGGATCGACAATCCGAGGCATAGAGGCTGTGCGAGCAAAATCGCCGTTTCAGCAGTTTCCCATCCTCGAAGTGGATGGGGAGGCAGGAAGCCGTGATGCAGTCGAAGTCGCAGACCAGTTGCTCTGAAGTCTGTGTTTCCCTAAATCCGACATCCCTGCGGGTTCTTTGGGAGCTTCCCGAGTGACAAGGATCCCACATCAGAAGGGCGCGACTATGAAATGAAAGGCCCCGGAATCCAAGAAGCCAAAGCAGGTGGTGGTGCAGTCGAACACCATCTTGAGATACATCGGTCGCCTCACCGGTTTGCTGCCGGAGTCCCCTCTGGCTCTTGCAAAGCTGGAGGCCATCATGGACTTCATGGTAGCCCGGCTTACCACGGATACTCCATTTTGCCACGTGTTTTTGGAACATCTTGCAACCACAGAGACCCCTAGACTTTATAGCCCAAAGCCCAACGTCCCAAAAAGGCACAGGGACTTAAACCGTCAAACCCCCCTGGCGTCATCCTCCTGTCCAACGCCCAGGCCATGGATGTGGAGCCTTTGGCTTTGTGTAGCCATCTCCAGGCGCCAGAGGGCTACTTGAAGGATCATGGGACTTAGTAAGTAGGGTTATAAGTCCCTTAATTGGGGTTATAAGTATAGTTACCCTAATTATAGCCCTACTTACTAAGTCCCATGATCCTTTAAGAAGGGCTTGCAGGGTCTAGGCCGCCTAGCCCTCTTGCAACGGCTTGTACTTGGAGGTTATAAGTAGGGTTATAAGTAGGGTAACTATAATCATAAACCAATTTAGGGGACGTGTAATCCCACTTATAACTACCCATGAACCTCCAAGTAGCAACCTTTTGGAACCTTCCCTAGCTGAGCTGATACTCCCGAGCCTTCAACCTTGAACGCAAGTCTGCTAGTGTATGGTGAATCTGTCCTGTGGCTCGACAGCAGGGCATTTGGGGTTGTCGGGCGTGCGCTAAGGTTTCGATTCCTAAACCCCCAAGGCCAAAAACCCTTGCGTGAGGGCAACATTTTCCAGTCGATTTGGTGTACACGTCAGGGCTTTGGGATTTGGGAAGGAAGCCCGATTCCCGATTCCTCAGCTATTGAGTCGTAAGATCAAGCTTGAGCCTGTAACACTAAATACACCCCATATCCCCCTCAGTGCATTTAGTGGGTCGCTCGTGATTAGAACAGCAAACTTACACGGTGACTTCTGGGGGTATACGACCACCAATTATCCACAGGGTTTAGAGTAAGGGCTCAATTTCATAGTGCATAAGATTTCACTTACTAAGGCTAGCAATAGCTAGAGTCGCAGTGAATATGCCCGGACCCTAAACTCTTGACCTAGACCTAAACCCTTGCAACCGCTATCTGAACCCCAAGCACCCCCCCGGAACCCCTAAACCCCTTAAATCCCCTATATCCATTGAATCCCTTAAATCCCAAACCCTGAACCCCAAGAACCCGCAACGGTGAGAATGGAACCCGAAGCTCCTTTCACCAGGGCGAGGAAAAGACGGCCGCTCGGGTAGCCGCCGCCGCTGAAGGTGCGGGCGGGTTTCGGGTTTTAGGGTTTTGGGCTCTTTCGGTTCGGGCTTAAGAGAACTGCAAATACCAACATGGCATGCACTTTCCATGCAAAAAATATATCCGCGACCTTGGTTTGCAAACCATTTGGCTTTGGGATTGTTCCATCCCGAGCGCGATACAACTGCCATAAATTCTCAAGTTATAGTTTTAAATCTTCAAGCCCCAACCCCTAAACTTCTACAAGAGGCCTTAAACAGGCCTGTTCAAGAGCAGGTAGTGCTTTTCGCAAGCGTCTCTCCCAGCTGGACGCTGCCATCGCCCCGCTCGTCAGCCAGGAGACCATCGAACGATTTGGGGTTCAGGGTTCAGGAATTAGGGTTTAGGAATTAGGGTT